CTATAGTAGTTTTCACACAATAAAACCACAGTCGACCTCCTTAAGCATAAAAAATCACGATTTCTTTATATTTTAGAGATTGAAAATTATTCATGAGAATTACAGAGAAAAATCATCAACTCAATAGATAGATTATTTAGGCAAATATGTATGCCAGGTATATTTGTTATGAAAATGGTGAGCAATATAATGATACTCGTTGTTGCATTAAGATTGGGCTCGATCTACCCTATATTATGTTGCTGACGAATAAACATATATTTAGGTCACTGAAAGGAATATATTTAATATCAAAACCATAAGTGCATAGACATACAACGAATAACGATGGGCTTCAAAATGAATACGGTTGAATCGGACAAATTATTGTTATTTACTTTGCATTTTTGTTTTTTACACCTATCTTTTATTCCTGAAGGTAAGTTTTTTTCAAAAGAAATAATAAGAATTTTGAACTTGATCTTCTGTATAACTGTTATTGATTATGTCTTTTTCCTTTTACATTACAACATCTTGCTTTATTAGTGTTTCTGAAAACTCCTGATAAATATTTTAGTAGAATAAGTTTTGAATTATTCAATTCAATTTATTTCTAAAGAAATTAAGTAATTTTTTTTTCAAAATGGCAATTGGGCCTAACAACCCTAGCTTCTTGTGACTATGCTGAAATTTCGCAATTCACTTAATTATTTAACCATTAAAAACGATATTTGTTCATGTTTTAACTTAGCTGTTTATATAGTAAATATTTTTACGGATGAGATAACTCGTTGTGAATCATGTCTTGAAATTTAAATCCAAGATAAAAAATTTAAAAACTTGTTTAAGAAAATGTTAATGAGGGTTTTCTGTAGTGAATAATCTTTTTATAGTCTTTTTTTCCTGAGACAGTGTATTATTGTAAGAAAATAGTTTCTTGATAATAGAAAGACGAAATTCATTTTACTTGGTTACAGTAGTAGGGTTGTGGCATCATTATGTCCCAGTAAACGGAACAGGAAATTGGATAGATATAACATACTATCTGACCCCTCATTTTAGTGCTGTGAAGAAACTCGCTAAAACACAGGTTTTGAACTGAATTTAAATTCACTTTAAACACTTATATACTGACAATTCATTTACCTTCGTAACTTTGAAAAAAAAAATTATCAGCTACAGTTTTCCAAGCAGCATATTTTATTGTAGAATTAAAATTTACTCTTTTAGTAACACAAATATTTAATATTTTGAAACTTAATATCAATACATGTACCACAAGGGAAAGTTTCAGATGCTCTGATTTAAGGAAAACTGAATTAATACTATTTACAACAATGAAAAAAAAATTATATTATACTGTAAAAAGAATTATTTTCGACCATTGTTATATTCGAACTTTACACTTATAAACAATTTTTTCCCTCCCTTTAACTTACCTAGATGCAACTGCTACAATGTTTTAAAGATTTTCATAATGATTTAAATTTTGAAGTTTATTTTAAGGCTGAATGGTGTTATCCTATTCATATATTATTATAGATAGAGATATGCAGTGTTACCATTATTATAATTAATATAAGTAACAGCCTTGATTTAAAGACATCTGACTTTGTAGAAATGATACCAGGTATCATACAGCTGTTATAATCAACTCATCAACTCATTTATTGATAAAACTGATTTGAAGCATATTTCTTATATTTTAGGTTGTGATGCAGGAACAGTTTCCACTGCAGCCTATCTCACGGCCACTATTGGAGGCTCTGTTAACCTCACCTGTACATATACACTAGACACTGGTGAGACAGTCTATCCTGGGTCTATTTCTTGGCAAGTCAAAACAGGCCTGGGACCAGAGGATTTTACAAACATTGCCTCTTTTTTCCCCCTGGCTCTAGTGGTTCTAATTCCTTTACAGACTTTGCCAATGATTACAAGAATCGATCTAAATTATTCAATGTAACAGCTAATGGAGCTAATTCTTATGTTGTTGTGATGAGAGTTAATGAAGTGTTGTGTTCAGATGAGAATCACTACAGATGTTCTGTTTTATTTATTAATAATGGATTAGGTCCCATAACTAAGACAAAAGAAACATCTTTCACAGCTAGAGGTATGCATTTCTATTTTACCAGGAGTACTGATATACAATATCTTATATGCATGCACACTGGAAAATAATTGTATGCATTAAAGTCTTAATTCAATAAGCAACTAAAAATTCACTTGGGTGCATATAAAACTAAATGACAATTGTTAAACAACATATCTGTAAATCTTAACAGCCCCTGCTGAGCAACCTTATGACATTCCAGTTCCTGTACCAGACAATATAGAAGAGAACATGGAAGTGACTTTGTCCTGTACAGCCAATGTTGGAAAACCTCCAGGACAAATCAGGTGGTGGCGCTACAGGAATGGGATAATAGCTCCACAGGAAATTCAGGGAGTGTCTACCAGCAACCCACAGGTTCAGGAAGGTGTATGCGTCTACAACGTAACGAGCACGGTAACATACAGGATGACGAAGGATGATGACCAGTCGGTATGGAGATGTTTCGTGGACAATGAATTGTTGACAATGCCAGACCGAGACAAACCTTACCAAGAATCTAAAAGGGTTAATGTATTCTGTAAGTTTATCTTTGTGTTCATGTCACATTTAACTAGCATTGAAAGGTCATAAGCAGACATAACGAAGAGTTTTTCTAATTATTTTAAGATAATTTGCAGCAATAACCATTACGTTCTTCAGTGTGTTATATATGAAACATTAAAGAGAGTGGATAAAAATCGAGGAGCTTTATTAGAAACTCAAAGATTTAGACTTAAAATGATTTTAACTGGATATATTAACTCAATAAACATGATAATTTACTTTGAAAGATAAACTCCATCTCTTAAAATATCATTTGGTTGACCTTTGTTTGATAATTTGGTGAAGTGATCTTTCTGTTTCATTTTGGATAGTGAAGTCTACAAGTACCACTTCCTTAACTACTGCACATATTGTCTATACTGGATCTCTTAACCAAATCACAACACAGGAAGGAAACGGTAATATTTTATTGATTATGTATGCGTTTTTTCACGGGGTTTATAAAACACAGCATAGTTATCATCGAGCAAATTTCTTCTTTTTTCTGTTGCCAGAATCAATCAGGTAACAATTTGCTCTCTATGGTTGTCCATCGTTGTGAGATCCAGTGTTTCTTTGTTCGTCTGCAAAACATTTAAACTATTTAGGTTTCTTCTCATGAACCAATTAACCGATTTTGACTCATTTCTACGCACTATAAAACCACTCATTTTCGGCGTGGGGCGTTAATTTTCGTGTTTTGTAAGGAACGGATAGACCCTCGATTAATGTCCACTATGAAATATAATATTTCACATATATAACTACTCAACAGTTTTTTTTATCTACGAATTTAAATCCCCTCGAACCCATTTTTTTTTCCTACCACGAAAATATGACCACTCAAAATATGTGATTTTACATTATTGCACCAATAGTTATAAAGGTCAAATATCATGAAAAAGCACGAATGATTATATTAAATTGAATAATCATCATTTTTATTCTTTTAAATTATTCATTCATTTCTTTTATGGATAATTTACTTTCAGAAAGAAAACAAAATTCAAGGTAACATTACATGGAATACTCAGTAAAAACTGTTCTGACTACTATAAAACTATATATTCTAGACAAAGATAAAATAATTCTAATTTAGAAATAGGAGTTAAAAATAGAAAATTTTAAGCTTTAGGTATTAGGAAAAGTTCTTTTCAAAGAATGATAAAGGTTTATATTAATCTGAAAATAAAAGTTTGACAACTGAGGCAAATTCTTCTATGCACTTCATAATAATATCTTGATCTATCAAAAAATCAAACTAAAATTTCTATATAAGTTACATGATTTCATATATAATCAGATGTGCTTCTTTTGCTTTGATTTAAATATTTTAATGATGCATGTATATTTATGAATATATAAATTCCTACTTTTCAATTAGATACATAGGAAAATTGAATTGATAAACCACCGTGGAAAAATCTAATAAACTCACACTTTTTACAAATCTTTCATATGTAAATCTTAATCCTTTTAACTACTCAAAAATCAAATGCAACTAAATGGGACCTCAGATCCATTACTTTTAAGGAATTGAGGCCTACTCCTACTTGTACATAAACCTTTAAGGCCAAAGCATAAAGATGAGAACACTGAATTAAGTAATTTGATAATAAGCAAGTGCAAGACAAAATGACAAAATTAGGCATTGTAAATTAAAGGTCTTCGGTAAAGCAATTTCTTATTAATCATAAGATGCCATTCATGTGTTTGTATTCTTCATAAATTTAAAATGTGATCGATTATATTTATTTCACAGTAACAGAAAAATGGAAGAGATAAACACTATCTCTGGAACACAAAGTAAGCATTAAATCACTTTAAATGATTTAGTATTTTTATAAATTTCGACAATTGTGTGAAATGAATTTCTTTTCAATTTTATAGGGTTTGAAACAGAGAGGAGGTAACGTATGCTTTATCATCAGAAAAAATAATACATGTAAATAAAGTCTCCAAAACATTGTAAATAGAAGGTGTACATCAATATGCATGATTGTTATGATTAAGAGATTATCCCCCAAAAGTATATTCAAAGCAATCAAAAAACTATTTTAAAAAGATGCCAATGATAGGATCCGTGGTTAACACGGTAATTTTTAAGGATAAAAGCTGACATGTCAGTTTGAGGTAGACCTCTATTTTTCGTTTCTTAAGAAGGGGCACAATATTTGTAAATAAGCTTATAACATGTAAAACCCAGGAAAAGTTTCTATTTTTAAAAACATTTTGATTGTCAATGTAAAGAGTTTTAATAAATGGCACTATAGAACAACGTAGAATGATTATAAAATCACAATTGAAATAAGTTATTCTTGTGCTACGATTGCATCCATCTTTTTTTTTTACCTATAAAATATTATTTTATCATTTAACGAAAGGTTACAAATTGACACGTTAATAATGAATATATATAAACCTCCTATTTATTCATTAAGAGCTCAAAATGAAGAACTGGCACAGATAAGTCGAGATCAGGAAAACGGATATGACGTTATTAGACCGCCAAACGGTAAGGGCATTTTGTAAAACATAAAGATAGGTATTATATCAAGATAATGATTTTTTTTTAAAGACACATTCCATTTATATTCTATTTCCAGAATATTATAATCATAAAATTAAATCTATTTTACACCTCTATTTTCTGTTCAGATAATGGATCATACGGGTAAGTTATTTTTTAAGATGTTTGGTGATGATTTGGAATAAAAAAAATTATAACCGAAAATGACATCGCAACCTTAAAAAATAGCGTTTATTTTAATTTGACAATTCAGTGCAACATACGAAGAACTGAAGCACAGGAAAGAGGAACACGGATATGAAAAACTGTCAGATCCTACAAGTATGTTTAAAATTTTAAACGTTCCAAACAAGGATAAGGGAATGAACTATGCTCAGTGTAATGGATTAGCCTGTTTTATTTGCTATATTGAACATGAAATTCATTTCAATAAAACATATGACACATATCAATGATTTACATTTATGTTTTGCTACTTTCCACAGTTATATTTAACAACGAAAAACAACAAAATAATTTGACTGGTGACGGAAAACAACAAAATAAGACTGGTCTCCGAAAACAAAGCTTTGGACCACCTACAACACAAAGTAATAGACAATCTCAGCATTTTGAAGATTATCTTTCACCAATTTGATATAGAAGATAAAAAAAACAAGCAAAGTTAATATATTTTATACAAGAACAAATGATTTCAACTTTACACCTCAAAACAAATATGAGAATTACAACAAAAGTGTGTTTTCATATTTGAGATTTTTCCGAAAAAGAAAGAAAGAAAGAAAGTTGTTAAGTGTTTTATGCTCTTCTAAATTCTTCAAAAAATAGATTTTGTGTCATTTATCATGAATCATTTAAATAATAAGACTTATTTTTTCATTGCTCATTAATATTAAACTATTGTCATTTGAAAAACTGTATTATCAAATGTTAATCTTTTTTTTTATCTTTGATGATGACAATTATTAAAGATGTGCATCAGTCACCAATATACGTACTAACGATACTTCCTTTAGGCACAGCTTTTAAGGAAGATACGATTGCATCCATCTCTTCCAGAATTGTTAGAGATTGGTTTAATCGTACTTAAATATGTTTACTGAGTTGTAACGCTTTGTATATCTTACGCATGAAATAAAGGTTTTATAAACAGAAGTATTTGTCAATTGCTTTTGTTATATAATTCCTCTTGTAACACATATATTATATTATCAGCGAAGTCAACGTCTTTAAATTAATATTTACCTAAGACGTGAAATATATGGAGATTATGAACAGTATTCAAGCTTAAAAGTCCTAAAACACTACAAATTTGAAGCAGAGCAATCACGTGTACGGACCTCAAAAATTTCAGAGGCGGGATGAAGTGCCATAGAAGAGTAAGCATCACACCCGCGATCGGTACACTCACCGTATGATCTTTGTCATAATCGGGAAATAAAGTGAAATCTGTCTACAATTCTAAAACGAGGAAATTTATTGACAAACAAGTTTATGAAACAGGAATTTCAGCAGTTTCTTTAAAGTCATTATTTTGTAAGGTCTATGGTCGATACAATGTCCTTGTCAGCAAATACAATTTATCATTGAGTTAAATGCTGAATGGCGTTTTTCATATTAACTCTTAGCCTAATATCTATACACTGAAAAGACGACGGACTTTTCCGTTATTTCCCGATCATGACAAAGAGCACACGTCTGGTGTAACCGGTCAGCATGGGATGCTCACTCCATCATGACACCTAATTCCACCTACAATGTTTTGGGACGTTTGCCTTGGGGGTTCTACTCGAGTGCGTGGCGTGTAATGTCTCCCCGATGGTTTTCGGGGGAAATGCCCAATCCACGGCCATTTTCTACGGGTATTGGCTTAGTTATTGGTTGTTGGTTTGTTGTTTCCCTCTGGTTAATTTTGTTTATATTTTCTTGCCACCCGATGTTTAGTATGTGGCACAGACGTCTGTTTGCAAAGGTATTTAGATTATTGTAGGTGGTGTTGGTGACGCTCCATGTTTCAGACCTGTAGAGGAACACAGACTTATCATTGGTGTGATAGTTACGAGTTTATGCGTGTGGACAGTGCTTTTGAACTCCACACAGGCTTGTGGTCGATGAACACGTGTCTCACTTTATTAATTCTTGCTTTTATGTCTTCGTCTGTTCCATCAGTGGCTGTGACAATGCCGCCTAAGTATGTAAAAGTCTGCATATTTCAGGTTGTGCTCTCCAAACGTAACTGGTTTTTGTTGTATGTTGTGGAGTTACATTACCTCTGTACCGTCAATGTTCACCTATTAACTTGTCTTTGCTATTTCCTTTTCAAGCGTATTTGTCTTGAGCAGCATATGCTGGCCCATAAGGCATAAATTGTCTACAAGATCGAGCTAGGTCTTCCAAACTTTGAGTGAAAATCCACTGAACTCCTGTCTTGTTATTTCTAGTTGTTTCCCGTATGATCCAGTCACCTACCACAGATTCAAGTGATTCGTGATTGATCCTCTGCTTTGCTTGCGACATATAAATGGTTATGTTTACTGAACTCTGTACTTTTTAGGTGTTGGTTTTTCATGTCTACCACTAGTTAGCATACTGATCCTCGTCCTCGCAATGCCAGGGGTCCTGAGTCAACAGGTTGCCATTGGAGTCTTGGCATTTGAAGGGCTTTCTTTTCTCATTGAGAACAATAAATAAATAAAATATTTTATAAATACTAAGAAGTTAAATAATGTTAACATAATGGATTTAGTTAACACCTGAAATGCACTTGTTACAAGTTACAAGTTGCTTATCATAAATGGCTCAATGTAATAGTCTGGAAGAAAAAAAGCATTCATTTTCTTCGACGGATGTTGCTATAATCAGCCCAAAGACTGTTGAATGAAATTTGCCAGGGGTCAAACGGCAACCTGTTAGCAAAGAAGCATTGCGATGATAAATGGTCCTTTGGTTGTCCGCTTTTTGTGACTTGTTCTTTCATTGCCTTGGATAGAATGGTTATTAATAAGTGGATCAATCTGACTTATTTTACTTTACTTTTTACTTAGAGAACCAGATAGAATACATGGCATTCTAGCATATAGAAAACATGGTGATACGGTAATTACATTACAGTAATTTCCTTTCAGATAAACGAATTTTTATTTATAATGGACTATAAAACAAATCGATTTCTCTAAACTTGTTTTATGAACACTTAGATTAATCGCTGACTTTTTATTTTTTATTCATAAATCATACAATGATTACAAATTAAAAAGAAAATCCTACGTTGCACCTCCGCATATAAGATATCCGAATGTGTGTTGTCTATTGTTTTTACGAGCATCGTTATCATTCACTTTTTTGCCACTTCTTCCTTGGTTAGGGGTTTTTCAACAGGTAGTTCTGACGTTTACGGCGTATTCTGTTACACCTGGAAATCCTTATCAAAGAAATGTAAGCCTACCTTGCAATGCAGGTTATTGCATAATACATCGACGCAAAATCCAGTTTTGTGTGCAGTTAAACCTTAAAGATGGAGGCATTCAAATTTATGTTCACTGTTCTAATCCTCGGTGTTATGTACATCTTTCCTCTTATTGATGGTAAGAAAATATCTTAATTATTAAATTGGCACATGTAATTAGATAGTAAATTTCATTCTTAAATATTTGCAAGATAAAAGTTTGCAAAAGACAAATTCAGCTAAATGAAGTAATTGATAATTATGACTAATCGACCTTCAACGAAAAGTCTAATTTGCGAAATTCGTGAAATCCATGTAAATTCTCTGAATTAATCATTCATCCGCGAATTACTTTTCTTTCTATTTGACGTTTAAGAGCCATCTCGCAATAATAAGTACTCGCAAAAAAGAAATCTACAATATATTATAAATTTATAGCTCTGTAAACAATTATAATGAAGAGCATTGATAAAAGTGGAAATCACTCTTCGTTTCTTCAATCTGTGGTGTTCCTTATACTATGCAAACAGATCTGGAGAAACCAGTCCTCTTCAATATTTGTTTGCATCTATTAGTTTAAGGAGGGCGTGGTATTGGTGAAATATTTAATACAGTGTATGTTTTATCATATCTCATACAAATACGTGCGTCTTGGATGTGTTGAAACTCATTTCAAAAAGTGCATCATAGTTTATAAATTTTTGTCCAAACTTCATTCCAGTTTTTTTTCTAGTGTTCAAGGTATAAAAATGTAAATCAAATTAGATTACAAATCCAACCTGACTTTAAATGCTTTGTGAACAGTTTTATTCTGATAAGACTGAGAACAAAAACCTTAACAGCAACGGTGTAATCTAAAGGTTTAATGTAACTGCATGAAAGATATCGGAAATATATGGTAGATGACTGTATTGCTTTGGATGCAGTAAATAATAAATGACTGTGTATGATAGTACTACTGTTAGCATACATGTACTTTTCTCTCACGAGGTTAAATTTCATGGAATCAAAATTTCCTTTTTGAATCATGAGTGCAAAATGACGTTGAAATATTGGATTATCATTAATATGATATACATTTCAATTTTGGATTGTGAAATATTTCCGAGTAAAAATTTGATCAGGTACACATGGCGGAAATCAATCCAACGCAACAAAAAGTATTTTCCATCTAATTGAAATCTAATTATTAACATAAGACTTGTAAACATGGATCAGATCTGCGCAGTATATACTATACACTCTTACACAGAGTGTATATGGTGCGGATCTAAGAAGTCTGTATTTTTAGCCCATCTGAGCTGGAAGCGCAAGTAATAGTACAAGTACGTGTCAATCAAACCCGACCAGAAACTCGAAGTTTCAATTACTTTGAGATGAAATAATATATTTATCAGATGTTCTTGTGAAATGATCTTGCAATATATAAGTCGTAATATTATTACAGAAAATTTGAGAAAATGTTAACTTCAAATCTGTGTCTATGCACCTTTTAGTCAGTAAAGAATATGAAAACACCGACAATCTATGAGGATTGTTCAATGAATAATGTCCTCGGCGCTTGGAAAGAAACAAAAAACGTTTTTCAATGATTAAGTCTTAATGATTTCACTTGAATATTATCTTTTAATTAAAACACATGTCCGTTACATTTTATCCAATATCTGAATGTTTTAGATCACATTTCAGAGTACTGTATACAGGGTTATTTTCGCCCCGTTTAATGTTTGCCCTTTCACACTTGCTAACAATTTTGCCCCGTTTTTATTTCGCCCAATTATAATTTTATAAAAGAAATTATATGTATTATTTCATTTCGCCCGTTTTAAATTCGCCAATATGAGGGTAGGGCGAAAGGGGCGAAAATAAAACGAGGGCGAAAAGTTCCCTGTATGCAGTATGGCTCTTCGTAAAGTGGAATATGGCATATCCTACATGATTTCCTGAACTTGTTTCCTATTTCTGAAAGTTTTTTTTTCAAGTTTGGAAAATACAACAAATCAAAGGGTGAAAGATCTAGCGAATATTGTTGGTCTAGCAAAACATTAACCAGCTGTTATCCCTATAACTTTACTCTTCATGGCGTGTGTGTTTGGAAGTTGTCATGAACAAATTTAATGTAGTGGATCCTTAATCTAGTTCCATCGTCTCATAAACTTTTCGATTTTTTGCAAAAAAAAGCTTTTTAGACTTCTCCAGAAATTGCCTCAGCGAATAAGAATTTGAACAACAGTATCAGTTCTTTGACTTTGGCTGTTTCTGTTAAGAGCATCTTATTGTAAATTTGATTTGAGGGTTTAAAGTAGATTCAGGTTTCATTATCTGTTTGAATTTCAGACAAACTTTGATAGCTACATTTTTTATTTATTTTTTTAATTGTTGTTTAGATACATGT